CAGAAGATGAATAACCCAAGATTTCATGAACAGCATGATAGAGACCTATCCTCTTTGTAATTTCAGAAGTACTCAGATAATCCTCAGAGGATTCAGTCCTGCAGAAAGATATATATGCAATATATATTATCCTCTCTGGTTATTCTGGTATGAATGACTCTGAATTACGTTACGGTAAATAACACACTATTGGCAAAAAAAACGTGTGAAATAATTCCAGATTATAGTTTTTATTTCAACATACATGTGAAGCCCTTTGACCTAAATAAAGTTTTATTTAATGCTGCTAGCGAGAACATTGTGTCTTCTTCATGCCTGTGGCCATCTCCACAGGCATGAAGTATTTAAAACAAGCCGTGAAGATCTGAGATCAGCAGCTTTCTGAAACACCAAACTGAGATACTGTTTGAACTACTATTGCTGATATATAGTCACAGTTACATGGATGCTTAATCGCTTTGACTGTTTGTCTTTAACTTTATCAGTAAAACAGCTGCAGTTACTGTTGTCACCGGGTAGTCCTGAGGTCTGAATCTGAGACCAGCTTCTGTAATAACAAAGAGAACAGAATCATCACAAGCTATGAAATATAAAGTGTGTCTCTCAAATCTGAAATAAAGCTAATCCTTCCATGTCCTCACACACATCAGGATCTGAAGTTTTACTCTTACATGTTTTTCAGCTCTTCAGTTCTGCTGACAGCTGACATTACCTGTTACTTCAAAAAAACCTTATATACTATCAGATTATCCAGGCTAATATTTATCTTTGAGTAATTGGGGCTTTTTTAATGGAGATCTGCAAAGATGAGATGATGGAAAAAGTTTCCAGTCCTGGCTCAATCTGCTGCTGCATCATGGTCACCAACATAGGTGTCATAACTGGTGTTTGTGCTGCTTGGGTATTTGACAGCAAATATTAACGCTTTAAATTATTTATGTAAGTTGTACAGAGTACTGTTCATGTAACTTTGTGAACAGTTAACAATAATTAGACTGTTTTTTAGCCTGAACATTTTAAACAAACTCGGGAAAAAAACAACAACAACAACAACAAAACAAATATAAAGAGTCTGCTAAAAAAATCACCAGTGGAAAACTTAACCATAAATTTTAACTTAAGCTGCCAAACGGCCGTAATTGGTTTTAGCACATAAATATTGGACTTTGCTACTTTAATGTGTAGTTCATTATCAATGAGGGGTTACTGAAGTGCAAGCGCGTCTTTTAATTTGGTGTTTCTGTCCTTGCAGATGTGGCAAGAGACAAATTTAAATTTAAAAACCAGCTCTGCACAGGAGCTGAAAGTGTCATGATTCACTGCAATGAAGGACCCAAGCGCAAGACTTGGAAAAAAGAGGGATGAGCAAGAAGAGGCAGTTTCTATTGTGCTGTGAAAACTCAGATGCCAAAATACAGGCAACAGAACATAATAAC